GAGACACACCTTCGGGTTCCTCACAACCTCCTATGACAACCCTCAACACCGAAAGAAAATGTGAAAGACTATCTCTAATATTGCTAACTAGATCTTGTTTCTCAGAGCTGAAGAACAAGAAGATGGTGATTGATATCCATATACCTAAAGAATGGGAAACATTATGCGATCCTCTGATTCCGAGAAAATGGAATCAGAGAATCAAAGAATCAAAGAAGAGATCCCAGTACAGTGCTGAGATTTTCTGGCAATGATAACGATATCAATTAACGTAGGTTTCCTATTCTTTTCCCTACCTTGTCGTTCAAGAACAACTACGTGGGCGTGTTACATTCATCACATGAGACAACTATGGTCAACATCGATCCCTTACTATATTTTCCTTTCCATGTTGCATCCAAATCTTTTTTTCTCCCCCTTTATTATTTGCTTTTTGTCACTTTTCGTTTTTTATTTAATTTGAAGTTATATATATGACGTTTATGTTTGGACATGTCTTTCTAGACATTATTGTATAAACTACGTACACTTTAATTACTGGGATATTATTATTATTGTTATAAATGCAAAATTTTAGGCAAATGATAAGATGCGTTGACAATTATTTGAGGGGGCAAGCCCCAACTTGTCCCATTATCAATCGGTTGCTTCACATGTTTCAGGTTATATTTTCCTTAACCTCAGATTGTATGTGCATAGAAAAATTTCATTAGAAAAATTAGCCTCAATGATTTATTATATTGTGAATATTGTTAACTCAAATAAGACTAACTTTTTCTGAAAGATATACAAAAGGTTTCGTCAACATAAAAAAATTAGCACGCTTATCATTAAGGTAGTATATTAATTAGTTAGTAATTCATGCATTGCATGCATATTTGTCTTACTTTGTTATTAAATATTAGTTATTTTTTAAAATATAAATTTTAAAAGTATTTATTTAATTTATTTTTTATTTGATACAGGTAATTATATTATAGGTTTTAAATATATTTGCTTTGATTTTTAAAAAAGTTTATATAATTTTATGATAGAAAATAATAAATTTTAATATATATCAAAGGACAACTATAATAAAAAACATATTAACTTTAAAATTATATTGATTATTTACAAATATTTAAATATAAAGTATTATAGATAAGTTTTAAAATTAATGCTTCTTACTTTTAGTCAAATTTGAAATTAATACAAAAAAATTAAAATAAAATTATTATTAAATTATAAATAATTCGTGAAAATATATAAATATGTAATAATATATTAAGATACAACACCCTCTTATATAACCTAAAATAAAATTCTATAATTATCCAACTAATTTGTAATTAATTTATTTAAATTCATAAAATCAAAATAATTCATACTCAAAATATTATAAACAATTATGAGAACAAAGTCAACAATATTAATAAATAATCATTGAGAAATACTTAAAATTAATTAAGTAGATATTAATTTTGATTATGTTGTAAAAATGTATTTACTAGCAATTTGATGTTAAATTATGTAACAGTCCGGCAACTTATTTGGGATTGATGATTGTCCTCACAAACTAATACAAGACTTTTCAGCGTGTTTTGTCCTCACTCACACACTCTCTGAAAACTTTTCATTCCATAATTCCTCTAAGTTAAGCACGCTTAACTTTGAAATTCTTATAGGTAGTCCTAATCAATTCCTTTAAGTTATCTTCAACTGTATACATAGGGATCCAAATCTATTTTTTTATTTTTTTAGTTTTGACTACACGAATTCTTCAATTTAATTGGATAAAATTGCTATAGATAAAAAAAATTGCTCTTTAAATATTTAATACAACTATATTCTACGCATTCATTCTCTGAGTATTCGCTATTTAATATAACAATTGATAACTTTTGTTTGTTAATTGATGAAATATATTTTGACATTTTATTTGTAGAATTTTAGTTTATTTTGAAAATAAAATAGTTGTATTATTCTTTGAACTCACTAATTTTCTCTTAGTTTTGTTGTAGGAAATAACGATAGTACAACTTCGTTGAAATAGGTCAAGTTATTAATAAAAGTTGCTGAAAAAAAAATAAAGAACAAGTGAAATTAATAAAAGACTTAAAAAGAATACGAGTAAAGGAAGCATGTCATATTAATCATGGCATAGTTAGCTTACAAGAATAAAAAATATATAAATAACACTTAGTTTATTTGAACAGAAATATTCAATTCTTCTCATCTTACAAATGAAAAGGTCAAGTTATAGACTTTGCTCTACAACTGACTTCCTAAAAGGTAGCTAATTAACTTGCTTAGTAACAACATATTCCTAAACGTGGTAACAAAATATGAATGATCAAATGCAATAAATAAAATAAATAGAAATGGATAACTTTAAGTGGTTGAAATCTTTGACCAAGTCATCAAGCACACCCTGTGCTCCTCTTGTAACACTACTAAAGGCATGCTTAGGCAGAGCATAACTTGAGTTAGGTCCAAACCAAATTAGTGTTGAAATGATGAGCATCATCGTGCTCCAAAATAGAATGCTCTATGTTGAAAATAAGGGAGTTGAAGTACTTTTTGTCTAAGGTGTAATCAGGAGGAGCATGTCCCATGGTAGAAGTAATTGAGATTGCAGCGTTACACATGCTTAGCATCTAGCCCTGTACAGTCAAGTGAAAAGAACTTTTAGGAATTTGAAGGGCATCTTATCTTTTATCATTCAAAACATCTAACTACCTTTCTATTACTGCTTTGATTGTTACATTTGTGAGATCTCCAAGAGGTGATGCTCTCCACACATTGTTGGTGTATCCTTTCTTTATTCACTATTTAGGATTATGAATGTTTGGTGTTTAGTTTTTTTTTTTACTTCTATTATTAATTATAATTATGTGTAACTAAACATCTTTGTCATATAGCTAAGATGAAATCTTGTGACCTTTTGAACCTCAATTTTATACTATCAAATTGATATTATTTTTTTAATTAAAATTGTCTCTTTATCTATTATGTGTTCTAAACTAATCAATTAAAAAAATAATCTTAGTTAATCAATTAATTGGCAATTGAATTTGTAATGAATTAATGGAATCAATAGCTAAATTGAATCTAATAGTTAAGAAGATCAATCTAATCCCTAAACTTTCAATCAATTACTTAAATTTAACAAATTTAATATTATTTATTCATCTATTTTTTTCTATGACCATTGAGTTAATATATAGGGAGATTGGTATTATTCCATGACCTTTGGATAGTGGTAAGAATTAATTAGGTGATTGGTGATTGTTATTGTTATATATATATATATATATAAAATTCATAAAAAATAATTTTGATAATCAGTGACTTATATTAATTAAATAATATATATTGTATGATTATAAGTATTTTAGCATGCCCTTAGAGCTTATCTTTATGCATTAATTCCTTATTTGAATAAGTTTTACACTCATTATGCTACTAATTGTCGCAGTTTAGTGTGCTAAGAGCTTTGGTGAATCGTTGAGGCATTTTAGGCATTAGTTGATGAAAAATTAGTCAAAGCATGTTCTTGTTTCGTGGTATGCACGCCCATGCTTTGAGACTATGCATATTGACAAGCACAGTCATGCTTACCTTTTGTTGGAACCAAATTGGAGTTTTTGCTTGGAACTTGTAAAGGAAGAATTTGAATTCAAATTTTGGATAAATAATATCTTCTCCAAGAAGATACACCATATCATCCAATCTCTTACAAACAACAACCACCACCTCTTGTAGACCTAAATCCTATTTAAAGAACCTTGAGGGCAACGACTTGTGCATTCTGGATTTGGCACATCTTTGATGGCACTTGGAGTCATAGAGAGCGAATGTCACTTGCAAAGACGAAATAATCTTTTCTAGAGTCTAAGCAAGTGATCAAAATCGTGTTTGAAGAACAAGAACTCTTTTTCACTTCCTTCCCTTAGGGAATTTTTAAGGGGAGCTTACTTGAGCTTCCCTTATTCATTCACTAGATGCTAAAAAAAGGGTTGTGACAATTCTAAACACACTTAAATAAGCTTGCTTTATAATTGAACAAATTCTAATATATATATTGTTTTGAATAGTTGAAAGGTTTGATATTATTTAAGAATATATTACATCCTTTAAAAGTTTAATTCAAGAAATTACCTTTAAATATTTATTTATTATTTTTAATGAATTTATAATCTAAAAATATAAATAATTAATTTTATTATCAACATTTCTTTTTGAATATATTAAATAGTGAACTAAAACGAGTTTTAGAATTTATTTTGATGTTTTAAAAATTAAGAAACTTACATGACTAATAACTTAAATATTAATATGATTTTCATGGTTATTGATTGACTAGAGAAGTTATATTTAAATGAAATGATTGTGTTTATTTAAATAGTTATATTTTTAAGTATTATTTGTTTGTATATGTATTTAGGTATACTTCTTTTCAAAATAATAATTAATTATTGTTAACTTTAATATAATATATAACTTTAGCATTAGTTGTATATAACAACTTAGATATCAAAATTGAAACTAATAAGCTTAAACTTATTCTTTTACGTTATCAAATCTAAAAGTAAGTTAGATGTTTATATCATTAAAAAAAAATTATGTAACTATCTACTTGTAATATTTATTTGTAACATAATCTACATTAATGTAAGGACTTGTTAAGCTAGAGTTTTTTTTATTATTATTATTATCATAACTTCAAACATAGTTAAACGGTAAATAAAATCGTGCACTCTTCTATAACGTTAATAATATACACAAAATGATAAATTAGCATAATTCTTCTTATATGCTCTCCCTTCTTTATATTTATAATCAAGTTTGTGCAATTATATTATGTAGTTAAAATGGAAACTAATATTGCTTCTAGAGAAATCATTAAACCATCGTTGCCTACTTCCACTGATCATAAAACTTATAAACTATGTTTGTTTGATGTGTTTCAACTCAACACATATTTTCCGTTAATTCTTTTTTACCACAAAACCACTAACATGCAAGAATTCTCAAATATCTCAGCTCAATTAAAGAAATCATTATCAAAGGCACTAACCATTTTCTACCCTATTGGAGGTAGAAGAAGTGATTGTTTCTCTGTTGATTGCAACGATGAGGGTGTAATTTACATAGAAGCCATAGTGAATATCACCATGGAAGAGTTCCTAAAACCACCCAAATTAGAATTGTTAAACCAATTGCTTCCATGTGAGCCTAACAAGTGCCACCCGCACGAAGAAGTCTTGCCTCAACTATTAGTCCAAGTGAACCTTTTTCAGTGTGGAGGAATAGCTATTGGTTTGTGCAACCTTCATATATTTCTAGACGCATACTCTTGTAGTACATTCTTGAAAACTTGGTCAACCATTTGCAAAGGATTAAAGGAAGAAATATCCAGGCCAGATTTCTTTTCTGCTTCTACTTTCTTCCCTCCAAGAAACACCTTCGGTGTACGTGCTGGCGTTCTAAATATTAACAAAGGCTTAAACATAGAAGCAAAGTGCGTCACAAGAAGATTCTTGTTTGATACCAAAGCTATCAATAATCTAAAAGTCATGGTAGAAAGCCACTCAAAACCAACACGATATCAAGTTGTATCCTCATTCATATGTAAACATATGATTGTATCGTGCACGAAGGAATCTTATGATGACAAAAGGCCAATAGTTGTTTTACATGTTGTGGACATGAGAAAAAGAATGGGAAAGCCTTTTACAAAAGGTTCAATTGGAAACTTATTATGGCCCGCAGTGGTGCTTATTGAAGACGTAAATAAAAGCACTAGTATGGGAGATTTGGTTAGGATTTTGGAAGAAGAAATTGGAAAGCTTACTAAGGAATTTTTTTTGAAAGTGCAGAGTGATCCTAATTTTTTGTGGAGTGATGAGTGTGCAGAACTAATGCTAGAAAAGATAGCAACCCAAAACCCAACATCATTTGTGTTCACAAGTTGGGCTAATATGGGATTCAAAGAGCTTGATTTTGGCTGGAGAAAGCCTTTTTGGTTGGCTCAAAGAGGAGGTACTAAAGAAACCATTCCAAACACTGTAGTATTGATGGAAACCAATGAGGGAATAGAAGCATGGGTTACAATGGTAGAGAAACATATTGTTAATTTAGAAAATGATATAGCCTTCCTAAAATCAACATTACTTAATCCTAGTGTCTTAAATAAATAATTAGTTATTTAATCAACAAAATAGAATACATGTAAGGTAAAAAAAAAGAAAAAAGTAGTAAACATGCTTATTTTGTTTCTATTTTTTTTACTACACCAAAATGAAAAGAAAATATTTTCCATTCATAGTAAAAATAATGGATAAGAATGTATTCTTATATATTATTTGGGCTACTATTATGTTTGATAAAATGCGATTTTTCATTTATATATGTCAAGAAAAAGAATAATATAACTAAAATTTTTTATTCACGCACCCAAAGTCAAGACATAAAATTAAAGTTTTAAAATTGTTATTCATTGTTAATCTTATTTAGGTGATATATTTGATAGTCATAAAATTTAAAATGAATTCACATTAATATTATAATTTATTGTAGTTATTTTATTGTTTTATTTTGCCTATGAAAGGCATTTTGTAACACCTTGTTTTATTTTTCAAGTAATTATTTTTGAGTAAATTATTTTTTTCACAAATTAAAAAGAGATAAATGGTAAAGTTTCATTTCAAGTAGCTTTAAATGATTGTTTCAAAAAATCTTTCAAAATAAGGATGGATTACAAGTTTAAATCAAATCATTACTACAGGACGTCATTAATACATCATAATTTTAAAAGAATAATTTTTTAAATATTATAGTAGTTTCATTCATCCCTTTCAGTTAGCCTGGTGCTGATTTGTCTCTTTTAATAAATTTACATGACTTTAGGAAATCCTATGTTTTCCTAATGAAGTTAAAGACTATGTCATGAAACAAATGCAATCTCAATATAAGAACAGGCATCATTATTTGTATCGAGCATATCTTAAAAAATAAAATAGGCCAAATGATGTGTCTCCCGAGGATTAGAATTGGCTAATAGAAAATAAATGGAGTGATTCTAAATTTTAGGTACAGTTACTTCTGTATCCATAACTTTAGTTTATTCATTTTATTTATACTTGTAATAATAAACCATTTTCATTACATGTAGAAGAGGAGCTTGAAAAATAAAGCTAATCGAAATAAGCAAGAAATTAAATCTATCACTGATACAAAATCAATTGTGCAAAAGACATTTGAAATGGTTTTTTTTTTTTTTGTTTTATGTTAATTTTTTATGCATTATATATAATATCAGTAATTTGAAATGGTATTTATCTATGTTTATGAATAAAATATGAGTAATTTTTAACTCTAATAAATAATTTTGATATCTTTTATTAAAATTTACAATTGGTAGCTTATCTATAATGACGTTAAATTATTATTTGTTTTGATATCGTTAAATTATATTTGATATCTTTCAAGTTGATGATGTTGAATTATAATTGATATCTTTTATTGCAATTTTAATATCATTCATTTCTTTAGTTATTTTTAATAGAAAGAAGATTTAAAAACTAATGAATGGCCAAATGCTGTGAAAATATGGAAGGTCACACGAATGAGATCTAATGGAACATGGTGTACTCGAAATGGTGCTCAAATTATGGTAAGAGAAAATATTTTTAAAAATTATGAGAGTTGAAATAAAAATTTTATTAATATTTTTTTCCTAAATTGTCTAATTTTTATATTTTTATTTTATTTATCTTAAACTTTTTATAGGAAGATTTGAAGAATATAGAAGATATATATCAAGAAGACATTTCTCAAGCTCCAGTGCCATTAATTGAGCATTTTGCACTCGTATTAGGAAGAAAACTAAATCATTCACTTGGCTTAGGGAGTGCAACAATAACAAAAATATTTATAAACAAACAAATCATTGAAAATCAAGTTGAGAATACAAAAAAAGAAAGCGGATGATTTAGAATTAGAAGTAAGAAAATTGACTGACATCTCAAGAAAATAAGAGGAGACTAATTTTCAACTCCAAATTGAATTACAATCTCAACATGAATTGATTGATGCTTAAAGATTAACTTTTGAATCTTAACAGAAACAAAAAAAGCAAGACCTTAAGATGGAGATGAAAGGTCAATGGACTATCTTATTGAGAGAATTATCATTCAACAAGTTATTTAATGATTCACGTGCTCCAACTACTAATGCAAGTTTATTGATTATTTTAGTTATCATCACTTAATTATTATATGGTTACATTATTAAAATTTTATTAATTGATTGATTTATATTTATTAATATTATTTTATTTTATTTTTTCTTATCTACAGGATCAGAGTCCATGAGAGCATTTTTCATTCTATTTTAGTTGTTTAATTTAATATTAGTTTTTTTTATTTTAGAATTTTAATATGTTAATGATGTATTTTAATTTCATTTATAATTTTCATGTGTAAATTTTTATTGGATATTTATTATATTTAAATTTATAATTCAACATATGGCTTCATAATTTATCATTTATGATTTTAATTTATATTTATTTTATTTAAAAATACAATTGTTATAATATAATCACTTTGATATAACAACAACGTTAATTTAAAAAAATAATTAAAATCATTAGTAATATAAATTTGAGTAATAATATATAAATTATTAATTTAAAGTAATTATTAATTAAATATTATTTTTTTAAAAATTTTGTTATAAAAATATTATTAAAAATAATTTTTAATAGTGATGAATAAATTAGTCATTATTTTTAGAATAATAGTAACTAATAATCATCTTAAATGTTATACATATCAATGGTGAATTATCTTGTCATTAATACTTCTATATATTAGTGACGTTAATTTTCATCATAATAAATAATTTATTTTAATGACTACATAATATCGTCACAAATATAATAGTGACTTAACTATTAGTGACGATAGATGATGAATTTAAATATCGTCACAAACTTGTCTTAATGATGACTTTTAAAACTTTTAATGACAAATATTGTAATCACTACATATGTAATACAAATACTATAATAACTATATATGTAATTTCTTGTAGCGACACTATGGATGGTCGCCGGTTAGCCCCCGCAATGTAACACCCTCATTTTTTATTCCCTTGTTTTTTGGTGAAATAAGAGTTGTGGTGCAACAGGACTTCTCGCTCATGCAAGAAAGGATAGAGTTACCTCAATTATCCTCTCACTCAAGCAAGAAGGGAGCTCGCCCAGGCGGGGGAGCAGCTCGCCCAAACAAAATAGGGATCACACAGGCGAGATGTTGTAGAAAAATTTGGAACTTTCTGGACCCGTTCTCACTCAGGTAAGAATAACTCTCGCTCAAGCAAGGATATCAGAAAAATCATTGTCTGATTAGCTTGCTCAAGCAAGGAAGATCTTGCTCACGCGAGGATGTGTTTGCTCAAGCGAGAGCCCGCTAGCTCAAATGAATGGTATTTAAGGACTTCTGTGTTGAGAAATTTCATTCCTCACCAAAAAATCACTTCTCTTTCTCTGATCTATTTGTTCTCTCCCTCTCCTATCCTAGAGAAAGCCCTTAATACTTCTAAATCTTTGTTGGATCTGAGCTCCAACGTCCGTTCTTCTCAGATCTGAGTAAATTTTTGAAACCCAACCTTCAAATCTAGTTTCTATTTCTCTGTTCTTTCTCCTTTTGATAGTAATCTATTCTGTGGCTTTAGAAAGAACTTTAGTTCTTGGGAAGCTTTACCGATTGAGACATGGAGTTTCTTCTCAGAGCTCACAAAGAACTTAGTTCTCAGACTCATTTCCAAGTAAGGGGAGTATTCTTGAGCCTTAGTTTTATTTCTATATGTAGTGATCCCATGAGAATATGAGTAATCTATTTTAGTAATAATCTATAAATGTTTATGAAACCTTATGGTAAAAGTTAATTTTTGGTATAAAGAAAGGTTTGGGTTTATTTGAAATCACTCGAATAAGATTCTTAGCAAAAGTTATGGGCTAGAACAACATGAAGAAGTTTTAGGACTAAGTTAATTGGGATGTATAGGAGTTAAATAATAAAAGACAGAGAATATTGAATTCTAGGTTGGAAGACTCTATTGTGATTGAGGAAATATGACCTCTAATGAATGATTATGAAACTACACGATTTGGGCTGAGTCCGAGGGTGTCTGACCCTCGGCATATTGTATGCTAATGTGTTATGATTTGATAAATATGTGATGAAGTGATAAAATATGATAATTCTATTGAATTGTATGATGATGTGTTATTATTTAAGGTTATGTACTGAAATAAAAGAATATTATAATTATACTGAATGGTAAATGCAGTCCACTTATGTGTACACGATGTAAAAGTTGGAAGCATTTACAAGTCTCACGCTCATTTCTTGACCGAACTCCTAACCATACCTTTGTTTGGAAGGCTGTGAACGCACATGTTATATCCTTGTGTGATTTAGCTCACCAACGACTATCTATGTTACGTAAGTCCTTCGTAACTAGAGAGAGTACGTTGGCAGCAAGTTAGGAGCTTAAGAGTACTTAGAGTATCTTTGAATTGGTGGAATATTCGAAAGTGAAAGGGATAAAGTGGCAAAAAATTATATATCAGATGATGATATTTGGCTAAGTGTAAAATAATGTGCTTTCATGTCTTATTATTGTATGTTTAATTGAGAAGTTAAGTTTGGAGAAAAATTGATGTAAATGGATTAATTATTTTTCAAGAATAAAAGAAGTTATATTGCATGTGTATGCTAGAAGAAGTAGAGAATGCATAGACTTTGAATATAAATTGATAAATATTTTGGAATCAATATGATAAAGTAGAAATGAATTGAATAATTGTGTTATAGTATTATACAAGGAGAAATAGATGTTAATTAATCAAATGATGAATGAATTTGTTAGAAATTGAATGTTCCTAACTTATTATATGTGGCTTTTGAAAATATTGTCTGCATTGTTCCCTTTATTTTATAAATTAAGATTTAGTGGGTAAGGGATACTCACCCTTACAGCTATTTTTTAGGTAAAGAAGGTCGATTCATTCTAGGGTCATACTCGCAAGAAATAGTAGGAAGGGAATTGCTTTGAAGAGTTTAATTTATTTAAGAGAGAGAATTGTAAAGATTTTATTGAATAAGTTCTATTTAAAGTTATTTACTCT